AAAATAATACACAGCCTTAAACCAAGTAGCTCTACTAAGACATCTACCGTTTTTGTTTTGTTGGAATAAACAGAAATGATGTTTTCAATTACTGCCTACAATACAAACAGTAAATTTGCAAAAGAGTTTACAATTTCAAATGGTGGACAAAGAGAGAACAGAGTGGTATAGGATGTGATGTTTATGAGGAAGGAAGAGAAAAGATAAGATAAAAGTAAAAAATTATAGGAAGGGCTGGGGCTGTAGCTCAGTGATAGAGCACTTGCCCAGCATGTGGGAGGCCCTGGGTTCAATTCTCAGCACCACATATAAATAAATGAAGAAAATAAAGGCCCATCAACAACTAAAAAATATATTTAAAAATTATAGGAAGAGTGAAAGAGGGATTAATAGAGGTTGGCTTTAGCAGGAGAAAAGAGAGAAAGAGAATCCAGGGAAACAGATAACAGGAAAAATATATATAAAGTAAAAAAAAAATTTTAAATTAAAAATTAAAACACACACACACACACACAAACAAAACTGTAATATACTATCCATACATTCCAGGCTTCAATGAACCAATGCATAAAAAATACTTGGTTTAAAAAATGGTAGACATGTGAGAGGAAAAAGAGACAGAGAGAGAGAGAGAGAGAGAGAGAGAGAGAGAGAGGGAGAGGGAGAGGGAGAGGGAGAGGGAGAGGGAGAGAGGGAGGGAGGGAGGGATATCAAGGAAAAATTGTTTCCATTGGAACTCAAAACTTTCTTAGTTCTCCTTCTCAGTAGTTAGGTGGAGTTGTCTGGGGTAGGATGCTGGCTCCACTCTCCACATGGGTGGGGTTGCTAGGGTAAGGGTTAGTTGTGCAGGTGGAACTCCTGGAGGCGGGGTGCAGGCTTAGGTGTGCTCCAGTCTCTTGGCTGGGTGCCAGTCGGTCTGGAGATTTTACATCAGTGTGTTTCCAGCACTCAGCAATTGCCATTCCACCCCACCATATCTTTTTATGGCATATGTTTCATAATCTAAAAAAGTCGCACTGAAGTTTTGGTAGGGCGGTGAGTTAAGTTAGATTGCATTCATTTAAAGAGCCTGGGAGGTTTGGAGATTCTACTTGGAAACATACTGTATCGTTTCATTCATGATACTAGAAATAAAACCAGCAAAGCAAAAAAGGAAAAAATGAAAGGCTTAGGGAGGTCAGGTTTCAAATTTCTCCCCAGGGTCTTTCCCACTTCTGGAGAATGCTGCCAACAATTGTTCACAAGACTGACCACAGCCCTGAACGCCAGCTGGATGTGGAGATGTTTCTTCCCGGGAGTTCCATGGTGAATTCCAAGTTGGAATGAGGGCAATTGGCAGCTGGATGGTTCCCATAATTAATAAAAAATTATTTATACAACAATAGCAACTGCTGTTTATCTGGCTGAGGTATTCCGAGCAAACTCCACCCTCAAGGGGCTCAGATGAAGTATAACTAAACAGCCCAAGAATCCCAGCCCTTCTCACATGAGAAAGGCAAGCCCTCTATGGGCTGATGAGGCATAGGATAAGTAGATTCCCCAGGAATTGTTCAGTCCTCCAGAAAGCAGAGACCACATTGAGCACTGTGTGTAACAGACCTTGTTAGAATCCTCCTACCTGATGCCTCAATTTTTTTAAAAAATATTTTTTAGTTGTAGTTGGACACAATACCTTTATTTTTATGTGGTGCTGAGGATCGAACCTTGCATGTGCTAGGCCAGTGCTCTACCACTGAGCCACAACCCCAGCCCTGATCCCTCATTTAATATGACCACTTCATGGATCTTCCTGGGTTGGGGATTTCCCCCCTACTGTTGCTATGGTTTGAATGTGTCTCCAAAAAATCATGTTATTAGAACTTAAACCCCCAGAATCTGACACACACAGTGCCTTGGTGTCAGCAGACACTGGCATCCTGTGTCATTTAAAATTTATATCCACTTTGTTTCAATCTCGGCACAACCCTCCCATTTAGCACCCCTTGTATATAGTTTCCAGGGCCTTGGTTGGCATTTGGTCAAACGTTTAACACTAAACACATCCTGTGCACCTCTGCACAGCCTGGCAGCACCCAGGAAGGGTCTTGAAGGGTGATCTTCACAAGAACCCGTATTACAGCAAGACAACCATGGAGGGGAGGAAGCGGAGGAGCCCTCTGGCCTCTAGTCCCTTGTGTTAAGTTCTCAGAATTCCTGGAAATTGCAGTGAGGGCCGTGACCCATGAGGAACATGTACATAGGATGCTGTTTGAAAGCAGACTCAATGTAAGCTTGGTGGTTTGAAAGCATGCTAATGATGAATGTCACTGGGGAAAAATAATCGGACAGAAACAAAATATATTTATTAGAAATATTACAGTCACACATCTTACACTTTCAGGTTAATACATCTATGTTAGCATGTCATGTCCTGACAGTGCTTGGTTCGATCTAATGTGCTCTTTGTAGAAACTGGGCCATGGACGTATCAAGTGTCCTCAACTAATGCAGTTAAAAATCAGTGAACTACACAGGATGTTATAGGTTCAGCAAAACTCCAACCTGGGTCAGAGGACTGAAATGGCCAGTGAGCAAGGGCAAAAAGTATTAAAAATATTTTTTAAAAAGGCTGAGAGGTTGTATGTTCTACTGCTTCTCAAAATGGCCCTCAAAATGTGGAATGGTAAGAACTAACTTCTGGGTTTGGTAGGTGGGCTTGTCTCTAAGGAAGAGAGTTCACCATCTCCACAGGCCAGTGACACATCCACCCCTCCATGGGGAAGAGGGAAGGCAGAGATTGAGAACTGACATTTGTCGGTGGTGGGGAGGAGAACACAACAGCTCTCTGTTCTCATGAGATGGCTAATCACTCTGATATATATATATATATATTTTTTTGAGATGGCATCTTGCTATGTTGCTGTATTGTCCAGGCTGGCCTCAAACCTTGGGACTCAAGTTATCCTCCTGTCTTGGCCTCCCAAGTAGCTGGGACTACTGGTGGCTGCCACCATGCTCAGCAGGACATTTTTGTCTTCCACCCATAGCATTTACTTTGGATGATTTCTACAAGAGCTGCCCATCAACAACAGAACAAAGGACAAAAAACAGAAGACCAACATTGTTTCTGAGGTGTGAAGGGCCTAGGAGGCAGGTTCCTCACAATGCTGTCCTGGGGAACACCAGCCCTACCACCAGTCAGCTGAGAAGCAATCCAGGAGGCAACTCCTCAGTGCAGAGAACTGCCAACTTCTCTTTGTATCTTAAATAACTTCTCAGGATCTTGTATTTTGCAGCTTTTATGTAAAAATCATACATTAAATTTTTTTTCTGCAGAACCACCAAATAATTTTAAATTAAGTACCAGCTGCGGGGGAGACGGAAGAATCATGGCTATGATGGTCTCTAAAATCCTCAAGACAGACAACTGGAAATGGTACAATTTGCTGAGAACTAGAGAAAACATAAGAAATGCTACTTAATTTTCTTAGTTTACCAGTTTTTCACCGTCAGTTTTGTGCTCTGAATGGTCCTAAAACTTGCACCTCCACACTCAGATCACCTCTTCAACAGTAAGGGAAACTCCTTGAATTTTAAGAACAAACTGCACGTGGCAGTTTGTTTCACAGGACGTTTTCCCCTCCTTCTTTACTGACAAAGAAGGGATAAGTGTGGCCAGTCATGGGTAACATGGGCTCCTACTGGAGACGGCACGACTACACATAGCTCTGCCTGGCCCAGAGCTCCTCTGAAGCCCTTTTCACATCATCATTGCAAACAGAGTGTCAATCAGGCTGACCATCCCTCGGTGAATCCCAAGACCTCAACTGCTTGTCCCATACAAAACCCTGGGGTAATCCCAGTTTAGGCACTACCACCCACAGCTCAACCCGACTAGTTGGAATATACGTCTCTCCACTTTGATGGTGGCAAAGGAGAAGCTTGGGAATCATGAAGATGCGCCAACAATGTCAGCTTCGATGTTAACACAGATGCAGGAAGCAGCACAGGCAGGGACTTTCATTTGAACACATTCAGCTGAAGGAGAAAGTTAAAACTGTTACAGCTGAATCCCAAGCTTCCATTCGAAAACAAGGGGCTAGTTACATAATGAATGCTGGTCCCCAAGCAACTGCTTGGGAGCTTGACTGCTGCACGGCTGTGGGGTCACAAAACGAGTTCCCGAGGCCTCGGAATGACACACCACACATCTCTGCTCCCATTCCAGATATTCTGACTCACTGATCCAGGGAGGCTGGGCATGTGGCTTCTAGAAGCTCCCCAGAGGATATGGATACAGAGCCACAGCTGAGAACCACAGACCAGACTGGAAGGCAGAAACTCCAGCCCTATAGAGGTCACAACAGTTTGAGAATGAGGGCTGGCCTCACCCAGTAGACACCTCTGGGAAAAGTTAACCTGGAGGAGGGGAAAGAGCCCATACCACTCCCAAGACAGGGAGTGGACTCCATAACCTGTCCCTGAATGAGCGGCTCAGATCAGCAATCAGGATTCACTTTAAAGAATTTTGGCAGTAGTTGTAATTCTGGGGGACTTAATGTAAAGACATCCTTTGTCAGAGGGGTACTAACAGCTATTTGGCACTTAAAACAGCAAGTCATAGACATTTACACATCTACCTTGACTGCCTGTGTGAATGGGCCCCCTCATTTGCTACAGAATACATTTATTTGTCCAAGTAGAAGACCAGCCACCAGATGGATACCTAGACTGAGCACCTTGGGAGGTCCCTGCCTCTACTAGGGTAACCAGTAGGATATTAGGGGAAATGCATTTCCCTCCATTCAGTTATACTGGAGCCATCAAAGCCCACCCCCAAGAGCTTCTTTTTGTCATGCAAATGTAAAAGGCCCAGTATGAAGTTCCAAGGACTAAGTCGCCTGGAGTTGGAATACTGTTTGGATTTGCTGTCTATCCAGAATCCAGAGGGACATACATCCTCAGCCTGTTTGTGCAAAAACATAAAGACCACAACATACACAACATTGCACACACACAAGTGACTATCAAGTTCTTCATGTGTGACAAATGTGCGTGGGTATGAATAGGAGGTGAATAAATGGGATAGAAGGTGCTGTGGACAATGACTGTGGTTTCCCTTTCAGCCCGTAAACCGTCCACTGTACACACTTCCTGCTATGAGACACCTCAGGGGACCTTCAGCAAGGCACCGCAGGCTCCTTTGCATATTGAAGACTCAAATAGTTGAGTTCTACAGAGCCAAAGTGTTTCCAAGGTTGCTTTGAAGCAAAGCAAAAGTTTCTTTGTTTTTTATGTTTTGTGGGGTGGTTGACAAGGGCAGTTTTTATGAAAGCAAAAGCCAGGGATTTTAAGTAAAAAACCCAAAAATCAAAAAACAAAAAAACTGGTTTGGAGGTGTTGTACCTCAAGAATCTCTGTGCAGATTACGCATCAAGTCACCATGTGGGATTGGTGACGTCCTGGGTTCTTTCTCACAGAAATATGCCTGTGGGATCTTGGTTTGGAAGAAGGAAGGCCATCCTCTTTAGAAACCTGCCATGGAAGAGCAAAGATTCCCCAACTTATACTCCAAATGCATTTGCATTTGCAATAGGGACACTGCAGAATCCAGCTCTAGTTTCTTCTTTGAGTGTTGATTCACTTGGTTTGAGCCTTTCTTAGAAATCCAGGAGGCTGGACAGTGGGCAGAGCAAGATTGGTGGCAACCAGGTACTTCCAGGACAAACCAATGTTGGTGGCAGCTAATTCTTTTGGGCCCTGAGGTTTAAGTCTCAAAGTACTTGTAGATCTGGGCCACATACTGCATCACGCTCTGCCAGTCAGGCCGGTCAGTGTACAACATCTCACTGAGCTCCTGCAGGGAAAAGGAAAGGGGACAAGTTACAAGGGGAACATCATAGACCTCTTCCCACTAAGGGACTCATATCCAGATCTTGGCGTTTACTGCCTGAAAACTCTCCACCTACACAACGATGTAGTGCTAAATGTGCCAAGGTAAAAAAGACTTTTCATCCTATTTATTCCCTTTTAAAAGATGCAAGACATGGCCTCTTGTTGCTTTTGTTGTTAAACATGACAGCATTAAGAAAGATCTGCAAACAGATGATCTCAGTCATAAATTTGCTATCAGAAAATGATTTCTGTTTTCCTTAATTACAGTCACATATAAGTAAATTAGTCTCTGACTTCCAGGGTTCCATAGCAGTGCTCATGTTAAGTGTACTCTCTGCTTCTTCATGGACTTTTTCATATGCCATTCCCCACGCTGCTGGGTTGTTTGGCTGGCTCCCACTGTGCTGGATACACCCTGTCTAAGGGGACTGCTGCCCAAGGTTGACAAGACATGTAGTTTATGTTCACTTCTTCACTGTTCCAGAGTTCACAATGAACATCTCTGTGCAGGACTGTTTCCTTCCATTGAATTACTTAAGAGAAATTCCAAAGAACACAGTTGAGCCAATATAAACACTTATTTTGCTAACATTAAGTCATATCATTTAATGTGTGAGTTTTTGTTGTTGTTGTTTATTGCATTAATTTAGTAAATTTCTTGCATTTACATATTTACTTTTGCTAACCTCTTCCTCTTATTTTAAAAATTTCATTTATTTATTTTTGCTAACTTTTCAATGCACAAGCTAATACAGAGGCTACAAAGTGACAGGGAAGAGGACTAGGCATTCTGCAGAGCAGTAGGTCGAGCTTTTTCAAAATTTGTGCCACTGGATTTGTTTAATAATTAACTTTGGGTCTGAATTTGTATTCTTTTGTGGTCACAGGAGAACAATAGGAAAGAACCTTGATGGAAAGCCAGAAACAAAGATGCAATGGAAAAAATAAGGCTGAACTGAGTACATCTGTTCCTGGGTGGTGACACAACTAGCTGAGGTTGTTAACCAGCCATTTATCCTCTGATTCAACAACATCTAAATATATTTTGCTTCCTTCTTTGCTTCCTGGTTATGCTAAAATTATCAGTGTATCATTCATTATTCATTGAGAAGGGGTCAAAAAGGAGTAAGTGGAACAATCTACACAGATATGCCTAGAATAATTTTAAAAGAAAGAACAAAATTTCCCCAGATTACAAGGATCAAAAAGTCGCTTTCCATCTGGGCATGGTGGAGCATGACTGTAAAATCCCAGCTGCTCCAGAGGCTGAGAGGCAGGAGAATCACAAGTTTGAGGCCAGTCTTGGCAACTTAGTGAGACTTTGTCTTAAAAATAAAGGGGCTGGAGATGTAACTCAGAGGTGAAAGTATCCCTGAGTTCAATCCCCAGTACCAGAAAAAAACCAAGAACATGATCAAGAAAGAAAAAACAAGATCAATAAATGGGACTTTATAAAAATTAAAACCTTGGGCTGGGGTTGTGGCTCAGTGGTAGAGCACTTGCCTAGCATGTGTGAGGCCCTGGGTTCGATTCTCAGCACCGAATATAAATAAATGAATAAAATAAAGGTCCATCAACATCTAAAAAATATTTAAAAAAATAAAATAAATAAAATAAAAATTAAAAACTGCTCTGAGAAAGAGAGTGTTAAGAGAATTAAAAGTTACAGAGTGTGTGGCTGGGGTTGTAGCTCAGTGGTAGAGCGCTTGCCTTGCATGTGGGAGGCACTGGGTTTGATTCTCAGCACTGCATATAAACAAACAAATAAATAAAGGTCCATTAATAACTAATAAAATATTTTTAAAAAGTTACAGAGTGGGAAAAAATAGCTAAAAATCACATATGATAAAGGACTTTTATACAGAATATTAAAAAATTTTAGGGCTGGGGCTGTGGCTCAGGGGTAGAGCACTCCCCTAGCATGTGCGAGGCCCTGGGTTTGATCCTCAGCACCACATAAAAATAAATAAATAAAAGTATTGTGTCCAACTACAACTAAAAAATAAATATTTTTTAAAAAAATTTAAATCCAATAATAAGAAAGCAATCTGATTTAGAAATGGGCAAAAGAGGGCTGGGGATGTGGCTCAAGCGGTAGCAAGCTCGCCTGGCATGTGTGCGGCCCAGGTTCGATCCTCAGCACCACATACAAACAAAGATGTTGTGTCTGCTGAAAACTAAATAAATAAATAAATATTTAAAAAAAAAAAAAAAAGAAATGGGCAAAAGATTTGAATAGACACTAGACCAAAGAAGATATGTGGCCAATAAATAGCATATGGAAAAAAGCTCAACATAATTTGCCAGTCGAGAAATGCCAATTAAAACAAGATAATCCCCTACCATCCCACCCTATACTGGGGAATGAACCCAGGGGTGCTCTATCACTGAGCTACATTCCCAGCCCTTTTTATTTTTTGAGATAAGGTGACTAAGTTGCTGAAGCTGGCCTTGAATTTGTAATCCTGCCTCAGCCTCCCAAGTAGCTGGAATTATAGGCATTATATACTTGGCAAGGTACACCCCTATACCTTTTAGAATGGCTAAAATCTAAAAACATGGCAGTACCAAAAGTTGGTGAGGATACAGGAGCAAAAAAACCAAAACCAAAACCAAAAACAAAAACAAAAAAAACACCTCTTTTCAACTTACTTTTTACAACTAAAACCACTGCAATAAAAACAGTCAGCTAGGCGTGGTGCTGTGAGACCATAATCTTAGTGATCAAAGGATTGCAAGTTCAAGGCCAGTCTGGGCAATTTAGCAACCAGTTTTAAAAAGCTTTAAAATAAAAGGCTGGGGCTGGATGTGATGGTGCACACCTGTAATCTCAGCAGCTAGGGAGGCTGAGACAGGAGGATCAGGAGGCGCTAAGCAACTCAGCAAGACCCTGTCTCTAAAGAAAATACAAAATAGGGCTGGGGATGTGGCTCAGTGGTTGAGTGCCCCTGAGTTCAATCCCCAGTACCCCTCACCCCCCCCCAAAAAAAAAGGCTTGGGATGTCACTCAGGGGTAGAGTGCCCTTGCATTTAATTTGCAATACCGAAGGTATTAATTTGCCCAATAATTTTCCAGACAAGCAAACATACAAGAAAGCAGCAAGTGGATGCCAGGGTGAACAGGGCTGGGGTTGTGGGGCAGTGCTTGACAGCAGGATGAAAACTAGGGGCAATTTTTTTTTTTTGGTTGGGTGGCGGGTACAGGGATTGAACTCAGGAGCACTCAACCACTGAGCCACATCCCCAGCTTTATTTTGTATTTTATTTAGAGACAGGGTCTCCCTGAGTTGCTTAGAGCCTCACTGTTGCTGAGGCTGGCTTTGAATCCGAGATCCTCCTGCCTAATATATAATGGGGAGGGTGTCCAGGTAGCATTCAACCTAGAAGAGGATCCCATAGCCCCTGACTTAATGTTGACGCAGGCCTTCTCAGAGGAATTTGTGCTAAAGGCATTGGCTAGCCCTATTCACTTAAGAGAAAAGGTGAATTTAGTGAAATTCCTGCATCTCTGTGATAGTATCTAGATAATAAAGCCCCAAGTGGATAATCAGAGAAAGTGACATATGAGATTTTTTGTTTGTTTTGCCAGGAAACATACAGTTATACTCATTTGGCCATCTAATGGACCTATGGTCTTTTTTTGAACATGATCCAAAGTTAGGGTTTGAAGCCATCTGTCTTACAAAAGCCAGACCTCATGATATAGGATCAAAGAAGTCCCCCCCACCAAGAGATTTTAACTGGATTTTTTTTTTCAACTAATGATACAAAAATCTAAAGAAACTTGTGAAGCAAAACGACTGCAGAATCCCTCTAGATGTTTATAATTGCTTTTAAATAATAATTTTCATTCTGATTAATATAAAATATTAATTTATGCTTTAATGGGTTATTATGAAGCAAATATTATGTATAATGACCAACCAGATTAAGAACAGGCCCCTTCCCTTTCACAATCCGCCTTGACAGGTTGTCATTTGTGTCTTTCAGAATCTTTTGCAACACTAATCTGGCAAGAAGAAAACTACTATTCATATGAAGCTGATTCTGATTTTAAGATACAGAGATTAAGTACCCTTTACAATTGCTATACCAGTGCTAATACAAATAAATGATTCTTCAATGAGGTGGATACTATGTATGGTTTCCCATGGAATAAGAATCTAATTCTGGGCTGGGGTTGTGGCTCAGTGGTAGAACTCTCGCCTCGGACATGCGAGACCCTGGGTTCGATCCTCAACACCACGTAAAAATAAATAAGTGAAGTAAAAGTACTGTGTCCAACTACAACTAAAAAATAAACATATAAAAAAAGAATCTAATTCATGGAATGCTAAAGACAAATAAAATGGAAGAGAAAAAAGTTCCAGCCAGGATGAAAATGAATTTGATTTAAAAAATAATGACTATGATTTTCCTCAATACTTTGGTGTTAATGAGCTTATAATTAACATCAGAAATGTACTAAAGTTTCCTATGTTATTCACTTAATAACACATAGTTGTTAATTACAATCTATAACCTGGAATTGTTCTAAGAACCTTTTAACTTAGTTAATAACAAAGGCAAGTCATGTGTATGCCCATGTTCATGCAAGTACTATTCACAACAGCTAAATCTGGAAGCATCCCCAGCGTCCAAAGGATGAATGGATGAGCAAAGGTGTGGAATAGACATAAAATTGGGATACTATTCAGCCTTTAAAAAGAAGGAAATCTGAACATATGCTAAACATGGATAAACGCTGAGGACATTATACTATGTTAAGTAAACCAGCTGGAAGGACAAATACTGTATGACCAAAGATTATGTATGACAAATACCACTTATATAAGGTACCTGAAATAGGTAAATTCATAGAGACAGAAAACAGAATGGTGTTTGCCTGGCTGGGGATGAAAGAATGAGGAGTCAATGTTTAATAGGCACAGGATTTTAATTTTATAAGATAAAAAGAGATGG